TGGCATACCTTAGAAAAAAATGGATGTATGTGTGTGTGCGGATACAAATTTTCGTCGACAATTTGGGGAACACCGATCAACCGATTTGAATAATTCAAAAAAAAAAAACATTCTATTTGTATTGACAAGGAGACGTGCTGATTAATTTTTGGCGAAGGCAGGTCTAGCCGTTCCAAAGATACTGGGCAAACAGTGCCAAAACAGGTAGCTCAGTTTTTAAGAAAACGGAGCGTCCGATTTTAACAATTCAAAAAACATTTTACTTGTCTTGACAGGATGAAAAACTGATTAAATTTTTGGCGCAACAAGCAGTTAATAATGTACTTATGTAAAGTTAATAATTTTATTATTGAATATATAAGGTCCAGCGGTTATGGACTCTCAATGAAAATAAATTAAAAAATGTCATTTAGCGGCCAAAATGTTTATTGGACATATCAAACATTAAATTATCAGATATTTTATAGAGATTTTAATAATGTGTACATATTTTGTGTACTTTTTTTGGGTTCCGTACCAAGATTTTTGATTACTGTACGGGAAGTTCCAGCAATTGGACTTAAGGCACGATGCATGCACCCCACTAGATCAATAATGAATCCAGCTTATATACAATTTTTATTTCCTCCAACAAATAGCCCGTGCAATAATGTCTAAAATATCTATAAAATTATCTAACCTCTTTATTCAGCGTAGTGCAACCGTCAGACTTCGCCGCTCCGACTTCTAATTTGTCGAAGAGTCAACTTAGATATCTTAAATGTTGCGACATTTCCTGACAAACCGCCAAATGGTAAAGGGGAGCTTTATGTTCCGCACGTGCGACAATAATCATATAGCACGGCTCATGTGCACTATCTTGTTACTCTTGAATGGTTTTCATATGAAAGAAAACTAAATTTTCATTAAAAATTGAAACGATAAAATACACGACTTAAATTCTTATCGAACGTCTACATTTTTTTAGGAATAATAAAATAGCAATCAGAAAATATAAAAAAAAAATCTATAAGCTATCGTGCTGGTTATTAGAATTTTATTAATGGTACTAGAGTTCTACGTACCTACATGGCATGATGGAGGTAGGTCATCCGTAGTGGGTCAGTGGTCTACTCCAAAACGCCTAAATTTAAGTTAAATATAATAAATTATTCACATTTATGTTTGGAATATATTAACTCAGATTTCTATTATATTTTTATATGTACATTTGATTAGAGCGTTATGTTATTTCACCCACGTTCTTATAAATGTGAAAATGAATCATCTAATCCTTTTGCTATAAATTTAGTTATTTATGCTGAATAAACTTCTTTATATATTTAATAATAATATGATCGCCCAAAGAACGTTTGGGCGAAGTGTTGATGTCTTTGAAACGATAAAGCCAACTCAACAACACTTCTAAGAAACTGCTATTTATATTTTATTTATAATAAACTGTTTTTATCATGATAAAATTTATATTTTAAATATTTATATATTTAAAATGATTATTATTAATTATGATACTTTTGCTAATTGGTGATTGTATAATGATCTGATACTTTTGCTTATTGGTAATTGTTTAATGATCATTTTGGCATGCCTTAGAAAAATCTGGATGTATGTATGAAGTATGCATGTATGTATGACGTTTTCCAACGTTTTCGGAAGCCCCGATTTGAATTATTCAAAATGCTTGGCAAAAGTTGGTTCAGCCGTTTCGGAGATACCGTGCAGAATGCAGGAAATAGAAATTAAGTTTGTGAGAAATTGTTGGCGGAGTGAAGAATTAATTAAATTTGCAAAAGCAGGTCCAGGTTTCGGAGATTTAGAAAACAATTTTAAAAAAATGCCATTTGGTGATCGAAAATCAAATATTTTCGACAGTCTGTATTAACCGACATGAATGGGTATAAAAAATATCAACATAATTTCAAAATTAAAAGAAAATTCTACAAACTTCCAAGTTTTTATAATATATCAATGATAATTTTTTCAACAGTTTACAAAATATTCAAACAAGTTTTAAAAAATTCAAAATTCTTAAAAAGAATTTATTTTTCTTCTGACTTTTAAAAAATATTAATTTACGGTGCGGGAAGTTCCAGAAATTTGTTTAATGCACGCGCCACTCGTTTAAAAATGGTATTAAAAATATTGAATTATTTCTGCATATTGTCACTTTGAAATATGTTACACATAAGAAAGTATTAAAAATGTATTTCATTTAGATATTAAATACTAACTTTTTGTTGATTAACATTATAATAATTATTGAAATATAAACGTGGTCTTTTCGAGTATTTTAGTATTCTGGCCCTTAATTCTTATGAAAAATTGTCAGCATTAAAAAGTATTTTTATTTTTTAGTATATTCACTTTATTGGGCTTATGTTAATTTATCAGTACTCATTAATGTTCTTTTGAAACAAAAATTTTGAAAAAAATCCATAAATTTTCAGTTACCTTGAATAAAAATCGATTGAACGCTTGATGTCATAATTATTTCTCATATCGCTAATTTCAAGTAAACCACTTGAAAGATTAGTAGCTAGACGCACTAACAACGATACTCAAAATAAAATATTACAGTCTTCAATGAGAAGGTAATAGATATTTATCATTGTTTGTAACAATAAACTAGATGAAAAGCAAAAATAATATATTTTAACTTCGCTGAAATTCTGAAATATATATAATAAAAATGCCCATCAACTATATATTTGTCACCATCGGCACAAATCGAATATTTGTTTCCCAAAAGCTGTTTTCTGTAACACGAGCCCCTTAAAATAATATAGGCCCATGATAGTTAAATTATATAATTAATTAAAGATTAGAAAATTAGAATTATATATATATATATATATATATATATATATATATAATGAATATATATTTAAATTTAGACCATCGATTGATATGAATCTTCTATTAATCCAGACGATTGAAGCCATAAAAACTGGGTTAAATATAGATGATTTCGTGTGGATGTAGTTATCTATCTACACAATAATGTATTTGAAATATACTTTGAAATTTAAAGAGACCGAGGTAAGAATTAATTAATTTGTCCTTAGATTGAAGCCCTGATCTTCATTCATGTTCTTGGAGTACGATCGTATTAAAATTATAATAAGAAACTCGTAAATTTGTTTAGAGAACAATTCAGAGATATTTAAATAATATTTCAATTCCTACAAAACTTTTTTTTTATTTTTATTTTATTAAAATGGCCTCTGCTACAAAACTATAAATTTTATATCACTAAATATTTAACCACTAATACATATATTTTTTGATATACTATTGTACTATGTAATTGGGCAATTTACATGAAATTTGTAAAAAAAATTAAGGATTTAACACCATCTCTTCATGCATTACTAACTAGGTATACTAAAATAGTTCGATTCTTTTGAATAATGTATTGAAAAGATATAATATATCTATAAAAAAAACTAGTGGGAAATGTTCGAGAAATTTTAAACGTTTTCAAATATATTATTACAAATACTGTAACTTTCATTATTTTTGCTATCTTGTTATATCTGAGCAAATCAAAAGTAAATCATAAATCATAAATCAATTTATCTCCAGAACATTAACAATCGTCATTTCATTTCGAATTCAATTTAAAAAAAATAGTTGCCTAATTTACACATAATTGAAAATGTGCTCCCGCATAGTCAGTCTAAACACATTTGCAAATAATTCTGTGCGACATTTTCACTTATACTGTGCTTAGCTTGGCGGCATTTTCACATTTTTCAATAGTTTTCACAAAATTGAAAAAGTGCTCCCGCATAGTCAGTCTCAACACATTTGCAAATAATTCTGTGTGACATTTTCACTTATACTGTGCTTAGCTTGGCGGCATTTTCACATTTTTCAATAGTTTTCACAAAATTGAAAAAGTGCTCCCGCATAGTCAATCTAAACGCATTTGCAAATAATTCTGTGCGACATTTAACTTATACTGTGCTTAGCTCAGTGACATTTTCACATTTTTCAATAGTTTACACAAAATTGAAAAAGTGCTCCCGCATAGTCAGTCTAAACGCAAATAATTCTGTGCGACATTTTCACTTATACTGTGCATCTGGTAAACATTTGTACCAGAGTGGCGCTTATACTGTGCTTAGCCTGGGTATTTTTTTGAATTTTTAATCGAAAATTACAAAAATATTTTATGGAAAATAAAAAAAGATGTAATAATTTTTAATCCTCAAAAGCAATTGTTTTGTCAATACAAAAGCTTTTCAGATCATACAAATCGGACGCTTAGTTCACTCAAAAACTACCATTTTTTGCACATTTAGCTCTGTATCTTCGAAATGGCGGGACCTGTCTTTGCAAAAACTAATCATCTCTTCTCCCAATCATTACAAATTGAATGTTTTTTAAATCATTCAAATTCGATACCCCGTTCTCTCAAAAACTCAATTTGTATTTGCTGCACTCTTTGCTCCGTATCTCCGTAACGGCTGGACCTGCCTTTGTCAAAAACTAACCAGCACATCTCCCTGATGTTGCCATAACATTGATCTCTCTTACGGCAGAATCGGCTCCTTAGTTATTGTTAAATGTGAGATTTTATGGATCAAGGTACAAAATACATGTTTGTTACTGTACCTATGTCTCATGAAGTGCACATGTTTCAAGAAATCGTAAGTATGTATATTGATGAAATCGATGATGATGTACATCGTTTGATTCAAATAACATCCAACATAAAAAAATAATCTTTTATCAAAGCTCTCTGTTACTAGAAAACTTTGCAAGGAAAACTCATACATTTGTTAATCAATATATTCTGTTATTTCGTTAATATTAATAAATAGAAATGCGTATCTAATACCGATTTCATATCAAATACCAAAACTTACCTTCCATAACGTGTTCGAGACGAGCGCTGCGCACGTGTTTCTATCCCCACTATCCCCAATGCTGCTCAGGCATTCTCTTTCCTCATCGAGTGACCGAATCTCCCACTCAGGTTTTCTTCCGTCAAAACGTCAGTTGCGAACGGTATGCCGCCTCGAGTAGTTGTTTTCGGTTGTTTTAGTTGTTTGTTACGAAAATCATTCGGACAGACGCCTGATTTTATTCTGAATATCAAATTATTTTAGTGAAGTTACATTAGTGATTCATTGACGTATGTAATAAAAGTTGATTTGTTTGTGCCATTTTAGTGTTATAAGACGGTGATTGTTCTGAGTTCTAATTTATCTTTGACACCATTCTAGTCGTGTTTACTGTTTGTGATTTACTGGTAAAAGCGTAAAGCATATGTTGGAATTTTAACAAATCAAGGTATTGTTGTAAAAATCATATTTTATTATATAAAAGTCATCAATGTTCATCAATAAATTTTTAATCTGCATATTTAGTTTAGATCTATGCAATCTTAAGGCTTTAACCCGTAAAATAATCATAAAATTGATATGCCATGCGGTATATGACTATTTCTATTAGTATGTCTTAATAATATTCACTATTACCGTTAATTGTGAACAAGTGTCTTCAGGGCCGAATTTAAATTATTGCCGCCTGAGGGCACTAATAAAAATGCCGCTGTATAGTTGATGAATTGAAGTTTGTCTTCAAAAATGTGTGAATAATTTGATGATATTTATGATTTTTTAGAAAACTTACAAAAATTTATTAATTCCGAAAATAAAGGTCAAAATTATTATACTTTTATTTTAGTTATTTTAATTTTTTATAAATTAAATTTTTACCTTTTTAAGTTTTCATGGAAATAAATTGAACTATGTCTTTAGTTAGTTTTCACTCAAATTTTCAAAATTATAATATACAAAGTTTCGATTTGATACATAATGCATAAATTATACTTATGAGATAAAAAATGTCAAAAGCATTATTTAATTATATTCTATAGATTTTTTTTCTCACTTAAAAAATTACGCGCCCTAAAAAATTACCCCTTCGTCACTAGCCCCAACAGCCCCTACATATTTTTTTATCATTATTATTTATATTGCTGTTTTTTTCTAGAAATAAATTACAGCGTAAAAAATTGAAAAAGTAAAAAATCATTACCTATTGAAGATTAATTAAAACTTGTGCACGCAATTGCTTAAATATGTAGATTTTTGTATCGTGCGATGCTTAGATGCGTCGAATTCATTTTATATGGAATATAAGAATATTGAAATGTATTAGAATATTGCATCTTATTGCTAAGTTTTGGTTTGCTAAAATGAATTTAAAATGTATATTTTGTTTTTTCGGGCATTTTTATAATTAATATTATTTTTATAATTAGTAGCTATCCGATCGAATAGAAGGAAATATGATCAATTTGTTTTTATTATTATCATTTATTAAATTAAAATATCTTTACAACAAAATCAGTAATTTTGACATTTTATTAACTATTTTGATCGGCAATAAAATCTATGCAAAAAAATATTAACATGAAATTTTATATTGAGTAGTTTGGTTGAGAGATTTATACAGTCAATTTAATTTTCCCTACTCATTGTGATTTATTATCTTGATTGCAAACTATAATATTTTGAACCAAAATATAAATTACACTGATAAATTAATGATGCAGTACTTGAAGACTGTGCCTGTCTTGAATATCACTTTAATATCATATTGTCTTTTTTCAATCTCCTCAATACGATATTGAATAAAATTTGTAAATGATTTGTGGTATGCGGCGGGATAACCCCAGTTTGAATTATTCATGCTGAATAAACAAACTTTCAACGGAGCCTGATCTTTATTCGTTTCATTTTAGTTCGGCGAAAATGACGTCATTGAATCAAAATCATTATGAAATTTGCTGTTTATTATATCAAAGGATAATTAATAAATAACATTTTAGGATTTTTTATCCCCGAAATATATATATCTGCATTTTTTTTATATTTACATGCAAATTACAATCTATCTATAGATAGATATTTTTTTTTTTAAAAAAACCTGATGATTCACCTTTTATTTATGTACTATACATTTATACATTCAGTTTTAGCATCTGTAAATTGAACGTAATTCTGAAGTAAAATTACTATTTATTTTACAAATCTTGTGAAATCTTTTATTATTCATTTATACATAAATCTATATGTGTTTATGAATATAATGTATATGTACGCATATACATTTTTATTAATGTATATATATTATGTATTATTTTATTAATGTATAAATGTATAATGTATAAATGTATAATGTATAATGTATAATGTATGCATGCATCATGATGTCAAACCTTAATGAATTTTAATTATTAAACCATTTTTCGTATGCCTACATATGTATATCATATAATAACTTAGGATCTTCATTAAGATTGAATTCCGAGTTTGTATCGTAAAAATTTTTTTTTTACTCTTAATTACAAAGAAACGGTCCGGAAAAACTTTACCAACTAATCAGCACGATTCCCAGATAATTTTTTTGAATTTTCAAAATCGGTTCAGAATTTTAGGTAAAAACACTGGCGAAATTTTTTGCATTTATCTGCTAATGGTGGAGAAATGATTGAGCCCATTCTATGGTCTAATTAATCAATGCGCCAAATCTCTTCCAAATTTTTTAAATCGGCTGCTGTTTTTGAGAAATTGTTGACGAAAAGCAAACATTCATACTTTTTCTCCATCTTGGAGTTAATTGATTCAAAAGGAAGGAAACATTGAGAAGTCATAGAATTAATAATTTGGATTTTCTGGCGAAACATAAATTTTTACTTTGGGAAAAATTAAAATAAAAATATTTGATATGAATTAATGACATTATTAGTTTAGTTATTTGTGAAAGTTTTTCAAATAGTCATTTTCTTCAACCAAATTGCGAAGTTAGCTCGTGTATGACGAATTTACTGCAACTGCGCGAGCTATGACGATAGTTAACTTAATCACTGCAAAACAATTGTGATAACGTTATATTAGCCATTTGCTAGATTTGAATATTTAATTTGAATACATATCGTATACAATTAAATCAGCGAGCACTTAAAAATAGAACGTAGTTAAAATTCTGTTTGCGCTTCTTTTACTCGTTTCTTATTAAGAAAATTACACATATGTCTTGTTTTTGTCTCACAATCAATGATTTCTACAAAATGATAAATTAGTTTATATGACTCGAATCATCAAAATTGCTAGGAATTGATTTAATTTTTCCTGTTATAGATTTTACCAATTAATTATTATTTTTATATTATTTCAATTATTGTTTCTTTAATATATATTAACTCTGTAACTCGTTCATTTTATCTAGAAATTTCTTACAACGGTTGATTAGAGATAATTTCTTTTCTTCACTAATTAAATCGCAAATTCAAAACTGTTTAAAATTTCGAGTTAAACGAGTTATGGTGATCAATATCACCAAGAATCTGATCATTTAGACTTACAGTTAGATGATATTGTTAAAATTACTGAAATTCGTCCAGAGTAAGACAACGGAAATATTGGCGGGATATATAAATATAAACACCTTGTGGATAAATAAACTTGCTTGGATAATCGTGGATTGAAATTGATTTAAATAATCTACATAAATATTCTATTTCACTCGCTGTTTTATATAGTTATTTTATTACTATGGAATGATGGAATGAAATGTATGTTGCATTATATTTTATTCAAACTATTTAATTGCAATTAAATTTTTTTAAGAACTGCATTGAAGCTTCAAATTATATAGTATATAATTTTTAATTCATATCCTATTGATAGATGAGAAATTACAATTTCAAATCAAAATGATGATTTTTAACACCAAGGTCTATTTGTAGCATTTCAAATAAACAACTATTATAGGCCCAGTATTCAAATTTTGTGGCTTTATATGTTTTTATAGCGGCTCAATTAAAATTTGTTTGACAATGCTTTTAGCGCGACATTAGCGTTTTTTCTGAAAATAAACTCAAATATGTCAAAGATAAATTTAGAATCCCATTAGATTTGTAATGTGCGGTTGATACAAATTTCTAAATATGTATATTTATGCGTTTTTAGTATATGTGCTAAGTAATAATTATATACATCTGTTATATTTATTGCGTTTATGTTTTAATAAATTCTAGTTTTATGATTTTTTATCAAGTGAATTTGATAATTTCGATTCACAAAAATTTGGGAAAAACGACTCAATTAGAGGTACTCAATTACAAGTACACAAGTTCTACTGTCTATCATATAATTTCTGTAAAGCTTTTCAAAAATGTCAATATTGTAGCTCGATTGATCATTGAAGATACTTTTCTTGGTAGTATCAAAATTAGTTTCGATAGTACGTATATATTAATTTTATTCTAAATTTCGACTTAACATTTCGACTTACTTTTACTTCAGTTTTATAAAAATTGCCTTGTATATACGCAATGCCACGTATATTTAATTCCAACATTGTATTTTATTTTTCATTAATTTTGTATAATTATAAAGGTGGTTTTAAAATAAATCAGAATTTTTTTTGACACGTTGGAAATTGCCACATAAACCACCTATTTGAAATAGCCATATGGGGGCGTCCGTTAATCACGTGAAGTTTTTAGGGGAGGGGGGGTATGACAAAAAAAATCAAGAAATATCACGTGGGGGAGGGAAGGGTATAGTATGATATCACGTGTTTTTATTTTTTGACTATTTTTTTAAAAGTTTAAGCACTTTGAAAAAAAAAACAAAAAATTTACAGTTTTTTAACCTAACTAAAATTACACGTGGCGTTTGGTGGGGGAGGGGGTAATTTTGAATATTACTATGTATCACCAAGGGGGAGGGGTCAAATATCTCCCTTCCGCCTTTTTGTATTATAAACCAAGAGCAAAAAAGCGGAAGGGAGATATTTGACAACCTAACATCACCAAGGGGGAGGGGGGTTCAAAAATCCTTAAAAACTCGCTCACGTGATTAATGGACGTCCCCTATGGAATATTCTTAACAAGAGCTTCAAAGTAATTTAACTATAAAGATATCATTTTTAATATTGCATTTACCGAAGCACTAACACATTAACCTACTTAATAAAAAGTATTTTATTATTCAATACGTTGTTTTTTTTATCGAAAACCAGTTAATGCATTGTTATGAAATGTTCATGTATATCTGCTATGTATCGAGTTCGCGTTCTCGCAATATTTATATCTTATCAGCATTTACACGTTATAACACTTCAATTTTATCAGGACACAGTCGACCATCAGGTTTTTAGTTTTTCACAAATATAAATAGGTTGTATATTTTTTTCTCGGAATGATGCAATGTAAAGATCTGCCATAATACGAGTTAAAATCATTCACTGAAGTATCATTCTCACTAACTTGCTAA